AATAATTGCATTGGTGTTATACAGTGGGGTGCAATCATGTGTGTACAGGGAATAGAGGAAGGGACTTAGCACACAGCCCTGGGGAGCTCCTGTACTTAGTACCAGGGCAGAAGAATGGTGAGATCCCATCCTTACTGACTGTGGCCTATCTATCAGAAAGTCCTTTATCCACACACAAATCTCCTGAGGTAATCTCAGGTTGATCATTTTAAAAAACAACCTGTTTGGTAGAATGGTATTAAAAGCAGAGCTATAATCCACAAACAACAGCCTCGCATAAGTTCCCTGTTGTTCTAAGTGGCTCAATACAGTATGGAGTACAATGGACACAGCATCATCAGTAGATCTATTTCTCCTGTATGCAAATTGGCATTGGTCCAAAGAAGGTGGAAGTCTAGCCTTAATGTAATCCAGCACCAATCTCTCAAAACATTTCATAATAACAGATGTTAAAGCTACTGGTCTATAGTCATTGAGAGATACCACAGCTGACTGCTTGGGGACTGGCACTATAATAGATGTCTTCAGGCAAGTGGGGACTGAACACTGCAACAAGGATAGATTGAAAATATCCATAAAAACGCCAGCTAATTCCGCAGCGCAGCCCCTAACAACTCGTCCCGTGATTCCATCTGGTCCAGCTGCCTTTCGAACGTTAATATTCTGGAAAGTGCGTCTCACATCTGAAATCTGCAGTAGTAGTGGTTGTCTGTCAATGGTAGATTCTAGTGATGTATTATAGACAGTAGGTGCTGGAATAATGGTTTTTCCTGTTTCCACCTCAAAACGGCTGAAAAATTGATTTAACTGCTCCGCCAAAAAATCACTGCTGCTACACAGACTGTTTTTGTTACTCTGCCCCGTGATTTGTCGTAGGCCATGCCATACCGGACGAGTGTCAGAACTCTCAAGATATTGCTCAATTCTCTGGCTGTACATAGCTTTGGCATCCCTAATGCCCCTTTTCAGTTTAGCTCTGGCCTCTCTATACTGTAGTTCATCACCAACAAAGTACGTACAGAAGGTCACAGGTTAACCAGTTCCCTACTTTAAAAAAGCAGGTTTAAAAAACCACAAATAATCATTTTCACAGTGACGATGTGCTAGTTTGCCTCTGTTTCTTTATCTGGAATTAAATCTTGCTAAATTCAAGGGGATCTGCTCTCAGATCAAGGGAGCATAAATAGGAATTTAAGCCTCCGAGTTCAAACGTATCAAGGCTTTTTTTTTCCCTTCCCGCTGGGAGATTGTGGAAGTTGTCAGCAGCCGTGCCTCTGACAAAAATAGTCTTAAACTCCGCACGCCTCCCACGTGCTCCCACGTGGCTGCAACCAGACGTTCTGAATCACAATAACAACAACAAGCAAGCCATTGTGACGGAGTCCGCGTCATCCCGCTCGGGCCGCGCTGATTTGACGAAAGCCGCAAAGGGTATTGTAAGAAAGCCCCGCCCGGCGCTCGCGTCAGGTACAATTATTCGCCCTCCTGTATCAACCAATCCCGCGTGTCCGTCCTTTCTTTTTTTCGTCTGTGCTGGTTGGCTGATGCCTGGCGGTGGGCGGGGACAGGGGGTTTCCTTGGCGACCATAGAAGCTGCCGCTGTACACAGCTTGGCTCGCTCTTTGGGCTCCAGGTAGGTGAGTGGCTCGCGGGAAGGAGGGGTTACTTTGCTGCCGTTGCCTAGCAACGGTCTTTTACCTTCTTCTTTCCTAGAGGCGGCATCCATCGCCCTCCTTACCTCACCTGTCTGGAAGGAGCGGGGGAACCTGTATCTTTTCCTTTTTCTGAAACACGTAGCATCCACCTTCCTACTTCTCTGGCTTCTTTTAGTCTGGAAAAGTTACTTTTTTTGGACTGCTGTCCTAAAATAACCCCAACAAGCTTGGGAAAGTTACATTTTATTACAGTTCCTAGAGTCCCTCCCTCCTGTCAACATGACTCGTTAGCTTATGGATTGTGTGGAGTAATCAATCAATCAATCAATCAATCAAACAATCAATCAATCATGCTTCCAGTCTCTGGCCTTGAACATTCTTCTGGCGATTTCTCACACAGTTAAATCAATCAATCAATCAATCAATCATGTTTCCAGTCTCTAGCCTTGAACATTTCCTCTGGGGATTTCTCACAAGGTTGTTATTATAGTATATCCTGTCAAGTTGGAACCAAATTACTGTGACCGTAATAGGGCTTTCAAGGTAAGTTACACATTTAAGGAGTAGTTTAACCAGTTCCACTCTGGGGGATTCGAACTCAGGCCTCCTGCCACACTGGCCCCTCCTAGCTGTGGATTCTTTTTACCAATTCTGGCTCTTCCTCCTGTATCTGCTCCTTCATCTCTTTTTGATGAAATAATGTATACAACTGTCCTTCCTTGGTTCTATTATCTTCTAATTTCATCAAGATGAGTTTTCTGGAAGTTACAATACAAAGTAATGAATCATATTCCTGGTTTATCCTCAGAATGGGTTGTGTGTTTTGTTTTGTTTTTTGTTAATGTGTTAGATTTCCTAATAGATAATTATGCTTCCATTCTCCTGTCTAGGTCCTAGATTATGCCCATGAAGTTGAAATGTTCAGAAAATGATCCAAACGGATAATCAAAACCAGGTTGCTTCTGATGAAATCATTAAAGAGCTGGTAAGTTTTCTGACACCTGTGAAATCATCTTCAGTAACCCACGTATTTGAAAACGTATATATTCATCCCTCTATGAACGTTCTTTAGCAATGTAGAAAGAAGGTATCTAGCCAGTTGGATTAAATGTAGAACAGGCCTTTCAGGTTCTGTCAATCATGATGGCTTTTTGGACCTCATAGGTCTCTAAATCCTAATTTCTGGGCAACTACAGTAAGCTAATACCATCCTGACCAGCTTGTGAGTTTTCTGGAGCATTTAGCTGCTCCCCACAGGAAGCATGATGCTAGACTAGACAGGACCCTTGGTCTTACAGGTATCTGGCAGAGTTATTCTTGTGTTGCAGAAATATATACATATGAAAGTGCTGCGTATCACCAGCAGAAATCTCGACATTCTACAAAACCAAAGCAGTACTACAGTTCCTGTGATTCTTAGAGGGAAGTCCTAACGCCTGACAATGCTCCAGCCAGGACAAGGTCTAAAGCTGGGCTGAAAGGTTTGTGGTTCTCCAGGTGTCACTGCAATACAACTCTCGTTATCTCCCTCCTTTGGCTTTCTCAGCAAGGGGCTGATGGGAGCTTTAGTCCATACCATCTGGAGTGACACAAATATCTTTGGCTTGCAGGACGGTTGAGTGTCTGTTGGGGTCTTTGCTTCATTAAAGGAGGGATGTAGAAGTATCATTTCCCCATGACTTAAAAATGGAACTGCTGTGTTGAGTTGAGGCTATGGGACCTTGAGCTTAACGTTTAGGGGGTCAGTCAGTTGCTTCTGTGAGGGTTGTGATGATAGTAATTTATTCATATAATTCCCCAGTGTTTGTAGACAAAGCTACTCTGTCTCTGAATGTAGAAGTGGTACCTTTTGTTTACATAAGTTGTTCTCTCCTAGTAAGCTTTAAACTCCACTTCTAATCCTTTTAACTGTCATGTGGGTGGATAAAAGCAAACAAACGTTGCACAAACGTTAAGCATTTTCTGATTCCACAAGAATTCCAGTGCACTGAGAATTTAATTTATACGACCTGCACCTCTTGAAATCATTGAGAGAGTTCAGTACCCTCCCACCCAAAATGAGACCAATCTACTGATGATGAAGAGCGCTAAGTTTCTGCTATCAAGATTTACCCCCCAAAAGGCATGGGATATCGAATACATTGCATTGGCTAGAACAAAAATTTACCCTCAAGGCCAAAACACAGTCGTTTTGTCCCTGCTGGTTCCTTTTTTCTCTTAAAAGATAAATGTTGTACACATCCGATGGCTAAAACTGGGGGAGATGGTCATGTTATATAAAATGCTTATAGATACAGGAGTGAATTCTCGAACAGAATGTGTCTCTGGAGGAGACTATGCCAAGGGTTAAAGAAATTATTTACAGCAGGGCAGTGGGAGCTGGATCACTGGGGGGAAAGAGGATGCTCCCCGGTGATGCTCAGGCTACTCCCAACCATCTGTCTTCTGCTTTTCTCCTTTCCAGAGACAAAACATCTATAAGTGTGAATGCCTGTCAGCCAGCTCCTTTGCTTTGAAGTAGGCTGGTGTAAATATGACTCTGTGTGTGTGTGTGTGAGAGAGAGAGAGAGAGAGACAGACAGACAGACAGCGAGACAAAGAGACAAAGAGACAGAGAGACAGAGAGAGAGAGAGAGAATATGATTGTGGTCTCCCAGCTCAACCTGTTGTTAGTTACGGTGTGTTCCACTCTGCCAGCCACATGCACCCATCCATAGCCTCGTGGGTTCACATTAAAAGATCGGCTTTCCCAGGGTTCTGCTTTCAACAAAAAGCTACAAAACCCCAAACCTTTTTTTTTTTGAAACTGACATACTGTCTAAGGTATGAATGCAAGATCAGGAACCACTTCCCCGACCTCTGGATTCAGAGGTGTGGGATGTCTGATTAATTATTGGCTGACCTAATTTCCATAAAGTGATCAACCCTCTTTTGATGACCCAGGATGCTTTTGTAAGGCCTCCTGTCCGTAGGGGATCTTTGGCTAAATAAGTAGCGACATGGCATGGCCAGCAGGGGGCACTGCAGGCCAAATTTTAAAATTCTAGATCCTCTGAAAGAGTAAAGAGATGTTCATGAATTAACATTGTGAGAGAGGCACTTGGTTGTGCAGTTGTAAACTTTGATCCTACTGCTAATCGGACCAGAACCCCAGTGAGTTTCGATTCCTTCAATCCTGATAAAGACAGAAAACCACGGCTGGTGCAGAAGATTTTTTTACTGTATCAGTGGTTGACAGAGATGCAGCATGATGTTGTTTGTTGATGTTGTTTAGTCGCGTGCAGAAGATTTTTTTACTGTATCAGTGGCTGACAGAGATGCAGCATGATGTTGTTTAGTTGTTCAGTCGTGTCTGACTCTTCGTGACCCCATAGACCAGAGCACGCCAGGCCCTCCTGTCCTCCACTGCCTCCCGGAGTTTTGTCAAATTTATGTTGGTCACTTCGATGACACTGTCCACCCAATTCATCTTTTAGCCTGTTGTCCATGGAAGTTTTTTCTTGGCAAAGATACTGGAATGGCTTGCCAGTTCCTGCTCCAGGTGGATCGCGTTTAGTCAGAACTCTCCACTATGGTCCTGTCCGTCTTGGGTGTCCCTGCACGGCATAGGCCATAGCTTCTCTGAATGACTCAAGCCCCTTCACCACGACAAGACAGCAATCCGTAAAGGGGATGATGTTGTTACCTGTTGTCAACCCACCTCTGATGTACAGCAACCCTATGAATGAGGGCTCTCAAAAAAAAGCTTCAGAATGTTTGCATCTAGAGATAGTTCAGGCTTGCTTTGACTTAAGCCGCAGCTGGTCATTTTTCTGCCAATCTGTGGTATAATGCAAAGCCGCCCAGAGACCTCTGGGTAGAATGGGCGGCATATAAATTAAATAAATAAATAAAGCTCTCCTCCAGCACCATATTTCGAATGAATCAATGTTCTTCATCTCCACTTTCTTAACTGTCCAGCTTTCACACCCATATAGGATGATCAGAGATACCAGAGTGTGGTTTATTTTGATCTTGGTCTCCAGTGACACATCTTTACAGTTGTTGCTCTTCTCTAGTTCCTTTACTGCTGCTTTTCTGAGCCTTAATTTCCTTCTGATCTCTTGACTGCATTCTCCATTTGAACCAAGATATACAAAATATTTAACTGTTTCAGTCTCTTCAACATGAGAGGTGTGTAGTTCTTTTATCTGCATATCTTAAATTGGTTTTCTTCCGCCAGTTTTTTTCACTCATCTTTCATCTGAATCTAGTTCAGCTTTCTGTATGATATGTTCTGCATACAATTTGAACAGATCAGGATATAAAATGCACCTTTGCCTGACGCCTTTGCCTATACAACTATCTCTTCCTGACAAATTGACACAAGTTCAGAGGAGAGCAAGAAGGGTGGATCAGGAGGCTGGAAACCGAGCCCTAGGATGAAAGAAGGAAGGAACTGGGCATGTTTAGCCTTGAGAAAAGAAGGCTGAGGGGTGATACGATAATACTTTTCAAAGACTTGAAAGGCTCTCCTACAGAGGAGGGGCAGGATCTGTCCTTGATCATTCCAGAGGGCAGGACATGCAAGCATGGGCTCAAGTTACAGGAAGTCAGATTCCGGCTGAATATCAGGAAAAACATCCTGTTAGAGCAGTACGACAATGGAATCAGTGACCTTGAGAGGTGGCGAGCACTCCAACACTGGAGGCATTCAAGAGAAACTTAGACAACCACCTGGCAGATCTCCTTTGATTTGGATTCCTGCCTTGAGCAAGGGGTTGGATTTGATGGCCTTGTAGGCCCCTTCCAATTTCACTATTATATGGTTCTATGACTGGCCTTGTAGGCCCCTTCCAATTTCACTATTCTATGGTTTTATAATTTGAGCTGTCTCATCATAGGATTTTCATGGAAAGGAAAGTTCAGTAGTGGTTTACTATTGCTATCTTCTGTGCAGAACTAACAAAAATCAGCCTGAGTGTCACTGCTGTTGCCTCCAGAAGCTTCTCCCCCCCCCCTTATCACTGTGGGAACTACCCATTCTAGGCCCCTTCCAATTTCACTATTCTATGGTTTTATAATTTGAGCTGTCTCATCATAGGATTTTCATGGAAAGGAAAGTTCAGTAGTGGTTTACTATTGCTATCTTCTGTGCAGAACTAACAAAAATCAGCCTGAGTGTCACTGCTGTTGCCTCCAGAAGCTTCTCCCCCCCCCCTTATCACTGTGGGAACTACCCATTCTCATCTGCTGGTGTAGCTGGATACATCTTTGGTGTATCCCATTCCACCTTGGTGACTTTGCTAGGGGTCTAAGCACCTAATGGAACATAACCTGCTGAAGGCATTGCTCCTCACACACTCATCCAAGGGGAGCATCCAGTAAGGGAGAGGAGCATGATGAAGCATAGCAAAATACCGGTGAAACACATATATTGGTGACCTCCCCCCTGACTCAAGTTGGGCATTGTCCCTAATGCGTGTGTGATGCCACACAGATGACAGATCTTTCCCCTTCCTTCAGCAGAGGGGTTACTGTGACCTAGAGATTTTAAATCCTAACCTCCCTTCATTGAATCTGACATGGTGAGGTGGAAGATAGTGGCCACTCACCAACCCCAGGAAGGAAAAAATGTTGCATGCTGACTGGCGCAGACTCTTTCTCTGCCTGGGCAGCATGTTATCACCTGGATAAAATAAGCTGCTCTTTGAACAGTAGGTCTGTAACTGCAGGCTTTGACTTTTAGCTTCCATCTGTACTCATGGCTACTGCTAAACTGGCAGCATGACATGGATTAAATATTGTATAAATGTTTTACGTGTGCCAAATCTGCAATCCAATGGAATCCTTATTTGGATGTATAGTAGTACCACCACCCCGTTTACGTGTGATCAGTATCTTCTGATTCACTTATCCATAGTTTGAAAATACTAAAAGAAAATCCTAGAAATACTGTATATATTTTTAAGATGTAGTTACCATAACTGGCCACTAGAGGGAGACAGAGACCATGCTATGCATAGCAATCGCTGTCAAAATAGTGTTTGTTATAATCCACATTTTTCAGCATCTGCAGAGGAGGGGGGCTTGGGACTGATCTCCTTCAGAAGTGGGGATCCTACTGTACTGACCATGTGGACCTAAACTGTAAAAGGTTTTTTTTAAATAAAAAAGTCAGCTCCTGATTGAGTCTAAGAAAGGAGTATGTACTAATGGTTGCTTGTGTGTGGTTTTCCTTTCAGTGCACCTGTAATGGGCTCTCTTACGACAGAATTGAGCAAGAAGGATCTTCGGTGAAAAGCTTGGAGATGTTTTTCTCAGGTTACCCCAGAATAGTAGGGCTGACCCATTTCCCCAGCTTAACAAGACTGACCCTCGTGAGACAGAGCATCCAGGAAATCTCCGATCTGGAGAACTGTCCGTTATTGAAAGAGCTGTGGGTAGCAGAATGCAATTTGACCGTAAGTGAATGCATTACATTTTTGGGCTTTCCTTTCCTTGCTGTGGTTAAAGAAAATGTGTCTTTGAACCAAGAGGGGGGGAAACACAAGGCTCTTGGCAGGCAGGATTCTCTGGAAAGAGACCGTCATGCTGGGAAAAGCTGAAGGCAGCAGGAAAAGAGGAAGACCAAATCTGAGATGGATTGACTCCTTAAAAGAGCCCACGGGCTTGAATCTCGAAGAGCTGAGCAGGTGGCTGAGGACAGGGCATCTTGGAGAGCCCTCGTTCATGGGGTTGCCATAAGTTGGAGGCACATTGACGGCATGTAACGACATCTGGATGGCATGACACCCTACCCCACTTCGAAGCCTGGCCAGCCTCTTTAAATTGGATCTGTTGAATGTGTGCTTTTACAGAACCACTGGCCTGTATTAGGAGTCCTGAATCATCTACTGGCTGCTTTTCCAAATCCATAGTTTCAGACTGAAGTCCAGAGAGAGCACCTGGCCATGGTGAAGAGTGCAGGAAAGCCAAATACTAAGGAACGGCTTCTCGCCACAATGAACCTTTGTGCTCACAGGCCTGCTTCATTGCACACAGCATCCTATCGGGGTTCCCCCTCCGGTGTGCATACATTTATGCAGCTGATTGCAGCTCATTGGTGGTCCTATAGGTCACGTGTCTGGCCATGCATCCAGTTGCACACCAAGATATGCTCCAGGAAGTTATGCACACCTTTAATGAAACCCCAGTAGGAGTCTGGCTAATAATTCACCCAGCCTCTAAGAGGCTACATATTTCAGGGTCCTGTGGTAGTACGGGTATAGGTTTTGTGAGTCACCATTTGAGATCCGAGTTCTATTCAACAGGGAAGATAAATAACTTGCTAAAGAACAAGTGGTAAGCATAATTAAATGATGGCTGTGAAACAGGGATGGATGATTGTTGGCCTCAAATGTTTTTAGAAAACTTGTAAGTACAGTAGGGCCCCCTTCTCCGTGTGATCAGTACAGTATCTGCTGATTCACTTATACGTGGTTAGAAAATATTAAAAATATTCAAAGAACCTACACAGGGTGCACTCTAGACTAGAGTACTTGCTCTCTCTCTCTCTCTCTCTCTCTCTCTCTCTCTCTCTAACGATGAAGTTGCCAAAGCTGGCCACTAGAGGGAAGCAGAGATCATACTTTGTATAGTGTTCACCAGTAAAATACTATTCCATGTTTTTCAGCATCTGCTGGGGAGGAGGGCTTGGAACTGATACAGGTTCCTATTGTAATTTTCAACATCTTTAAACAGGGCTGGGGAAAGGTTTATTCTTCCTCCTCCTTTCTCCTTTATAAGTGTTTTACATAATGAAAGGCAATGTTTAAAAGCTAAAAATTCTTTAAACAGGGCTGGGGAAAGGTTTATTTTTCCTCCTTCTTTCTCCTTTATAAGTGTTTTACATCATGAAAGGCGATGTTTAAAAGCTAAAAACAGTATGTATGCAAATATTAAAAGGAATCAAACAAATATCACACTAAAAATGTTAAGATAAAATCAACCCCCAGGAAGTATGTATGCAAATATTAAAAGGAATCAAATATCACACTAAAAATATTAAGATAAAATCAACCCCCAGGACACACTCAAAGCAGCAAGGGACAACACTCCATTAAAAAAAAACCCTCTCAGATAGCTAATCACAAGGGAAAGCCTGCCTGAAGAGAAAGGGATTTGTCTGCTTGCGGAAGGACAGCAATGATGGAGCCAGGCTGGCCTCCTGTGGGAAGCAGTTCCAAAGTCTAAAGGAGCAGTCAAAGAGGAGGCCCTCTCCAGTGTCCGCACCAAGTATCCCTGTGAGAGTGATGAGCCACAGAGAAGGCCCTCTCCAGTGTCCCCCACCAAGTATCCCTGTGAGAGTGATGGTATCATCTTAACACCCAGTCCAGCTTGTAGAGGGAGATGAGAAAGCTGTAAATCAGATGTTTCTGAAAAGCATTCCGTGAATAAATACGTCTCTGCCTTTTTGCCACACATTTTCTGGCATTGTCTGAAAAGCATCATCTTGTTATGCTTTTGGAAAGAAGCCGTTTTCCCGCCTTCATTCTAGTTAGGTTGAATAATTCCTGGATATGAGGTGGGTAGGAGTTTTCCTGTCAAGCCGTGATTCTGCCTGAGAATCCCCTTCCTTTTTTTTTGGTTGATTGAAAGCAATGCACTTTTTTCTTTTCTTTTCAGAGAATCAACGGTTTGCAAAAATGTGTCCTTCTCCAGAAGCTTTACCTCTATTGTAATATGATTTTGGCTATTGAAAATCTGGAAAAGCTAACAAAGCTTGAAGTGGTTTGGCTTAATGGGAACCAGATTAAAGAAATAGAGGTAAGATAGACTTTGGGGTAAAGATTGGTCTATAGTTATTCTGTTTTTGGTGAAGGGAGGTGGAAAGAGAAGGTCATATTGACTGAGAGGGTTTTTACCAATTTTGTAATTGATTTTCCTTTGTGATTTTTTTTAAATTGAATACTGTGGAAATTTCCAAACACATGGTGTGGAGCTGAAGGATTATACCACATCCTCGCATCCCGCTTGCATCAGCTTTAAACACAACTTGAGAAGATTTTGCCTGTCAAACTTTGCCACATATTTTTGGGACATTTATATTTTTTCTACACATGACTCACAAGTTACCGTTGTATGCCCGGAGAAGTGAGATTTTTGTTCCACAACAGCTTGTATTAATTGTTTGATTTTTTTAAAATGTTCTAATAAAAGTGTCACATTCTTTTACAATTTTTTAAAATGTGTTTTTAATAGTTTTAAGTTGTGCCTTTAATTCTCTTTACCTGTTTAATTATGTTTTGAATTTTATTGTGCTTTTTATTCAGCATTACTGTCTTGTGCCTTGAAAGCCTCATTTTCCCCCAAAAGAAGGCAGGATATTCATGTACATCCAAGAGCTGAATAAATAAAAATATTTTAACATCTGAAAAAGGTGTTGATAATGTAGGGACATCACATACTTCTTACTGCAGTGATGTCACAAACACCTTCCAGTAGCCGCCTAGAGTGGTCTAATATGATCAGATAGGCGGGATAGAAATAAAATAAATAAATAAATAAAATAGGTATTTTTGGCGCTTCTGAATCAAGATGTAATCAAGATGTAATCCTGGTTTCCTAAACTGTGGCAATAAATCATCTTTAAAAGGTAAAGGTTCCCCTTGACATTTAGTCCAGTCGTGTCCGACTCTAGGGGGGCTGTGCTCATCCCCGTTTCCAAGCCATAGAGCTAGCATTTTGTCCGAAGACAGTTTCCGTGGTCACGTGGCCAGCGCAACTAGACACGGAACGCCGTGGCCTTCCCACCAAGGTGGTACCTATTTATCTACTCACATTTTTACATGCTTTCAAACGGCTAGGTTGGCAGGAGCTGGGCTGAGCGAGGGGAGCTCACTCCGTTGCGTGGATTTGATCTTACAACGGCTGGTCTTCTGACCTTGCAGCACAGAGGCTTCTGTGGTTTAACCCGCAGCGCCACCACATCCCTTAAATCATCTTTGCCTTAGCAATAGATGTACTAACTTGGGGAAAATGGTCTGGCGTTTGCTGAACACTGTGATGGAATTCTCTCTGTTCCCTACTCAAATACTGGGAATAGAGATTAGCTCTTTTTTTTTGAAAGATGAAGATAGCATGAGACATGTTTTATATCTTCTCTCCTAATATTTAACCTGGTTTTCTCAGTTTTTAAAAATATTATCAAGCTTGATTTCCAAAGGCCAAACCAGGGCATCTGCAGGCATGAGATGAGTCATTAATTTGGTACAGTACATGTGATATATATGAGACCATTACCCCCGGGGGTCATGACACATTTACTAAAGATTTGTAATATCCATACCCCTAAAGCCAGATTTTTTATCATGTTTGCAGGGACTGAACACGCTGCAGAAATTGAAGGAACTCAACCTTGCAGGGAATCTCATTAGTAAAATCGGTAGGTGATACGACAAGAGATAACGGATAAAGGCCGGAATGTTTTAGTATGTATCAGGGGTTTTCTTGATGTCCCCAATGCAACTTAGAATAATTAATATCTATTTGGTTTAATTCCACATGATTTAAATAGTATCTCTGAGGTAACTTATACCAGGTTCTTTTTAAGGAGAAAGGCGGGGTAAAACTATTTTAAATAAATAAATAATACAGAGGGTTTAAGAAAATCCTGTTGCTCCTCTGCTTCCTATAATATTTCATAAATTTTGCTTGTTACCCCTTTCCTTACCCTACTTTCATCTCTGTTTTCCTTTTGTCATACCATTCCTTTAAATCTCACGAGTTCCCTACATTCACCACTTCTTTTTACCCGATCTTTCGTCCATTGCTCCTGTTGGATAAGATGAAACTAAGATATTCTCCTCATTCCTAATACGTCTTTTATTTGTTCTATCTTCTCCTGTTTTAGATAACCAGTTTTTAAAAGCCGTGTAATTTTCTATTTTAAAACAAAATGGCCCCTGAAACATCTCGGCAACTTTGGCAAGATGGGAGCCAAATGTTTGGATGGAGCTGTGCCAGGCCCAGAAAAGGTCCTGAGAAAATAAAGACCAGAAGTGTTCAGGCACCCGTTTCTGGTTCTGATGGGTGGAGTTTGTTTAGGAAATGCCTGTTACTTGTTTTATGTTAAAAACAACAACATGAGAAACAGTCACCTTAACTTTTAAAAAAAACTTTTTGCAATTTTTTTATTTGGGGGGCTTGGCAGGAATTTGGGGGGCTTGGAATACTGCCCCCTTGTCTGAGACAGAGGGACAGCTGGTAAGTTAAAAGTTGCTAATGAGTAATTAAAGGAAAGAGATAGGGGAAGAGGTGGTCCCTCTTCTTGTGGCTGCCCACATTTGAGGCTATATTCCTGGTGTATAAGCTTCAAGAGAAGTAGTATCAAGGTCTATGTTGCTCTGTGGGACCAGAGGTAGATATTATCGGTCACATACCGTCATTGACTACGGAAGCTGGGCTATCATTTCCTTTCCCACCTTCCTGTACATTGGCAGCTTTCCATCCAGTGCATGTGGGACATCTGTGCCTCCTTCGCATAGAACAGCTGGTTGGTGACCACTGGAGATTAGAAGAGAAGAGATGGGCATGAACCGGTTCGTCCCAGTTCGTAAAGGCGGGAGCACAGATGCTGCTGCTCCCCCCACCCCTTGTTTCCTCTGGCTGAAACAGCCACTTACCAGACCTGGTGTCATAGCATCCTGCACCTCCTCAACTGATCTCCCAGTCCCAGCAAGAGCTCACGCTTCTCTGCAGGGAAGTCTGTGTTCTTGCCCATGACTGGGAGATCAGCCAAGGAGGTGGGAAAAAGCAAGCAAGCAGGACTTGGTGAGTGACTGGATTGGCTGAGGAGGCAGGTGAAGGGATCAACAGCACCTATGGTCTTTTGCATTAAAGATCCACTAGCCAATCATTAGATTTCATCCACATTCGCATACTTATTCATAGGTATGTCTCCGTTGGATCAGGAGCAGCCCTCTTGGTACAGTGTTATAGACCTGGTGATATTGCAGAGGAACAAGTATGCGAATACACACACGGTTGACATTATGTCCCTCTTTATTTATTTATTTATTTATTTATTTATTTATTTATTGCATTTATATGCCGCCCTCTAGACAAGTCTACTCTTCTTGCGTTATAGGAAATAGTTTTGATCCCAATGGAAAAATAGAAAAATTAAACCTATCAGGAAACAGAATATGCTCCTTCAAGGTAAGGAATCAATCTTTCTTGCCCTTGCCATCCCCTGTATGGCCATTAATCAGATGGAGGCAAAGTTAATTTTTGGGACAACATTGCACCCCGAAAAACTGATTTCTAGAATTCTGGAAGTTGTAGTCCACAAATGTACCTTTGCCATTTCATATTGGCCAGAGACTTTTTGGGGTTCATATAAGGTTTGCAGAGATGGCCAGGATAACTACCAGCATGCCAGGGCACACCTTTGTTGCACAGTCTAGTGTGTGACCAAGTACACAACGGAGATGTGCCTTGGCATCTAATTAATTAGCTGCAATTAGCTGCCCCAAGTCACACAGACTTTACATGAATACCGGGATGGACACAGAGGCCAAGACCCAGAGGATGAAC